ACAGTGACACAGTATATTCTTTCCATCTTTTAATTCTTCCTGGATCATTTAATATTCTGCCTAAAGCATCCTTGATTATAGCAACTCGAGGTTTGAATTTGTTTTTCAGTTCCTTGAGCTTAAGAAATTCTGAACAAGTTCAGCTGTTTTGATTTTCTGACTCCAGCTCCTTTCACATTTCATTGTAATATTTTACTTTGTCATCCTGTGCTGCCTTTTAGAATCTTCTGTTCAGCTCTTTAGTACCTTGAATTCTTCCTTGTGCTTTGGCTTCACTCCAGTGCAATCTTCAGAGTTTCTTCTGACATCCATTTTTGTCTTTTTCTCTTCTGTCTTTGTAATGACTGTTTGCACTCTTCCTGGATGATACATTTGACATCCTCCCATAACTCATTAGGTCTTTGCTCATTAGTGTGCACGGCCTCAAACCTGTTCCTGAGATGGTTCTGAAATCCCGGTGGGATGAACTCAAAGTCATATTTTGGTTCCCATGGATTTGGTTTAATTTTCCTCAACTTCAGCTTGAACTTGCATATGAGTAGTTGGTGGTCTGTTCCACAATCAGCTCCTGGCCTAGTTTTCACAGCTGATATTAAGCTTCTCCAGCAGTGTTTTCCGCAGGTGTAATCGATCTGATTCCATAGCAATTTATTTAAAATATCACGGCCTGAATCAGTCTTCAAACTGATCTAATTGATCTTTAGGAAGTTGGAGAATCCTGAAAGTGGATTTCCCCAATGCAATATGTCTCCTGATCTCCAAACTGTTGGTACCAAAGATATTGTGAATTCATGTAAAATGAAATAATTAACAATTTCAATCTTTTCTCTATCATGATGCTGTTTATTGGCCCAGTGGTAAGGATTTTTATTTTCTTGATCTTGAAATGTAATATACATTGAAGGCTTTTGATCATTTACAGTAAATGTTTCAAGTTCTCCTTACTTTTAGAAAGCAAAGCCATCTGCATAATACATATTGCTGATGAATTTTATGAGTTCCAATCTTGATCCTGTATGCTTCTTCATTAAGTAAAGCTTCTCAAATTATTTTCTTAGTGTATTTACTAGATAGGTATGGAGAAAGGGCATAACCTTAGCACACTGTTCAGACAACATCCTGGTCTAGGTTTGTAAGCATAATTAAATGTTCAGGATTCTCATTTTTTTCAATGCTAGCCATAGTTTGTTATGCTCCACAAAGTCAAACGCTTTTGCATACCCAATAAAACACAAATAGGCATTCTTTTGCTCTTTTCTGATTTTAGCCAGGATCCATCTGACATCAGTAGTGAGATCCCTGGTACCACGGCCTCTTCTAAATCCTGCTTGAAGTTTTGGCAGTTCTTTGTCAATGTACTGTTCTAGCAGTGTTTGTGTTATTAATGATAATTGTTAGATAACTTCAGCATTCTGTTGGATCACTTTTCTTGGGAATGGGGAAAATATGGATCTCTTCTAATTGGCCGAACAGCTGCTATCTTCCAAATTTCTTGGCACAGACTGGTGAGTACATCCAGAGCTGTGTCTATTAGATGAAACATGTCAATTGGTAGCCTACCAATTCCTGGGGTCTTATGTTTTGTCAATGCCTTCAGTGCAACTTTAATGTCTTTCTTCATTACCATTGGCTCTTTTCATATAGTACTTCCTGAAATTTTTCACTATCAATCAATTCTTTTATGTACAGTGACTCTGCGTGTTCTTTCATCTTATATTGACACTTCCTGGACCATTTGAGATTTTGCTCACAGCATCTTTTTGTATTGCAACTCATGGCTTGATTTTCAGTTCTTTTCACTTGAGAAATGCTTAGCAAATCTTCCTTTTTTACTATATCACTCTAGTTCTTTGTACATTGTTATACTATTCTGCATTTTCTTCTCTTATCTGCCCTTTGAAATTCTCTCTTTTTAAATCTCTTTTACTTTGGTATTTCCCCCCTTTTGTTTTGGTTTCTCTATGCTCTAGTACAATTTTCAGAGTCTCTTCTTTCATCCATTTTGGTCTTTTCCCCATCTCTTCTATCTTTGTGATGACCTTTTCCTCTTCTCATGGATGATATCTTTTACATCACCCTATAACTAATTTTGGCCTTTGATTATTAGTATTCAATACCTCAAACCTATTCTATAGATTGTTTTTAAATTCAGATGTAATAGACCCATGTTTGTATTTTGGTGGTATTGGACTTGTTTTACTTTTAGTCAGTTTCAATTTGAACTTATACATGAATACTTGATGGTCTTTTCTACAGTCACCACCTGGCCTGGTCTTGACTACTGATACCCAACTTGTTTCCACAGAGTGATTCATTCCTTTACAGTCTATCAGGGGAGGTCCATATGTAACGTTGCCTTTGGGATTTTTTAGAAAGTTATTTGCAATGAATAAATAATTAAATGTAAAAAAAGTCATTATTTAATGTTCTGATAACTTATCAAGCAAAGGATCTGCAAAAAAACAGTAAGAGCCTTAGCAGGATGAATTGTTGTAGCTGCTGCACCAATGGGCTCATCATAGTGATTGCGAAGATGGCATAGGACTACACAGTGTTTTGTCCTATTGAACACAGGGTCATTGGGAGTCAGAGCCAACTCTTGGCCACACCTAACAATTTTATTAATAGCCACATATCCATCCAGTAGTTTGTAGGTTAAGACAACCTCTAGGTTGAAAATGTGGCTAAAAGTTTTCTTCATTAATTCTTTAATAAACATTATTTGTTTAACAAATTGTTCTCATACATAACATTTTTATTTTATACTGAGTTACTTACAGAGTTCATATACGTTGTTTTTCCGTACCAGATCTTTCCCATTTCCTTAACTCACTTCTCCCTCCACCTATCAACCTGTACAAACCTATGACTATCAACACCACTCCTTCATCACCATCCTCACCCCTCTGTTCCCTTCTCCCCTTTAAATCCTCATACACATTTTACTAGCTATCTATAATAATGGTCTTATACAGTATTAGTGTTTATAGGACTGAATTAGTTCCCTTAGCATAATGCTCTCCAGTCTCTCCCAAGGTAGGAAGTGATTTACAAAATCATTGTTCCTGCATGCTGTGTAGTATTCCATCATGTGAATGTACCATAATTTCTCAATCCATTTGATTGTGGTTGGATGTTTGGTCTGTATTTCTGAAGTACTTACTCTGATCATGGCCTTGTCCTACAGGCAAATTACAAAAAGTTGCTGGTTTTATAAAATTTGTAGCTTAAGAGAGTAATGGACGTTAAGCAAGTAAACAAGTGAGCATATGCTATGTTGAATGATACTAAGTTTTGTACAGAGAAATAAAGCAGAGCAAGTATGAGCTGCCACTGCTGATCCATGCAGGATGATCAGAGAAACCAAATCTTGAAATTGATAGTTGAACCAGAGAGCTAAAGGAAGTGAAGGACTTAATCATGCAGCTATGTGAACTAAGGGCTTTTGAGGCAGAGGGGATACTATTACTATTAGCTACCAGAGTAGCCTTTGAACTCAGACTCATGCTGACACAACAGAAGAGATCTCTAACTGGTCCTGTATAATGCCCCATGATCACTTGCTGATATGACTAAAGATGACAGAAGTAGAATCTATATCTTTGAATTGTGGTGCTGAAGAAGAGTATTGAACATACCATGGACTGCCAAGAGAATAAATAGGTCTCTTTTGGAGAGAGTGAAGCCAAGTTTCTCCTTGGAGGCAAAGATTTTGAAGCTTCATCTCACATATTTTGGGCATATGGCCAGGAGGGACCAGTTCTTGAAGGACATCTTGTTTGGAGGGGTGGAGGGACAGCACACGAGAGGAAGACCCAGATGAGCTGAATTGATACACTGACTGGGGTAGTGGGGGTACTGGCTCAGATTAGGGAAGGATTCAGAGCTATTGTGCATTGGATCACTATGAATAGAAGGCAATTCTATGGCACATGACAACAACTCTCTCTCCAGAGTGCTAAAGAGCAACAGTGTCAGTTTATAGACTAAAACATGCTGATCTAGGTCATGGTCTTCTCAGTTGCTTGCTATGCATCTGAGAGCTGGGCAATAAACAGGGATGACTGAAGAATAACTGATACCTTTGAGTTGTGGTGCTGGAGAAAAGCATTGAAAATATATCATGGGCTATTAAGTGAATAAACAGATCTGTCCTCGAGAGGGTGAAACCAGGTTACTCCTTAGAAGCAAGGATTTTAAAGCTTCATCTCACATACTTTGGGCATGTGGCCAGGAGAGACCAGTCCTTGGAGGAGGACATCATGCTTGGAAGGGTCGTGGGACAGCGCAGAAAAGGAGGACCATGGATGAGATGGATTGACACAATTACTGTGGTCAGACGTGCCTGAGATAGTGAGGTTGGCTCAAGGTAAGGCAAGTTTCACAGCCTTTGTTTATAGGGTCTCTATGAATTGTAGTTGACTCAGTGGCACACAACAACAACTATAGCTACAAAAGTTGGGGACTGACGAAAGAGAGGAAGGATCTTAGGTGGTTTGACACAATAACAGACTTAGTGAGCTCAAGTGCGTCAGAGATTGTGAGGTTGGCACAGGATAGGAAACAAGTTCAGAACTGTTGTTCGTATAGTTACAATGAGTTGTACCACACTCAACAGTACCTAACAACAACTATAGTTGCTTTGTAGAATGTAGGCAATGGAAGCCTAGTAGGAGAGACTGCAATAATCCAGTGAGAGGTGATGGCGTTTTGGTGTATTATTGTATTAGAAGAGACATATAATCCTATTCTACTCACCCAGTGAACTGATATTAATCATCCAACAAACCAGAGATCACAAAACAAATATAGTGAACAATAAAATATGCTGTATCTAAATCTTAGTGAAATACAGCCACCTAAGCTTTTTCTTTTTGATAGACGTAAACCCTTTAATAGCATTTGCAGATGGTACCAACATGGAACAACCTCAACTGTGAGTAGTGGTAGGGTTTGATGAGTCTGTGAGGCTCCCGTCAGACTCTCGGGCCCGGCCTTCCTTAATTCTTCCGTGATTGGCGTGTTTCATCAACGTTTAACATGACGACATCATCCAAGAGGCGGTTGAGCTGTGGGTTGCCGTCCACCGCCCTCTCCAAATGTTCGGGGGTGATGCGGATCCTGCGGTTGTTTTGGGCCTCAATGCCTGCCAGCTCTAGGATATTAGACGTCAAGTACTCGAGAACACCAGCGAGAAAAACAGGTGCAGATGAACTCACACGCTGAGCATAGTTTCCTTCCCTCAGGAGACGGTCCACCCTACTCACGGGAAACTGAAGCTCTGCTCTTGTAGATCGAGAGAGAGAGTATCTTCTGCGCTTATGGGACTTGCGAGAGGATCTTCGCCTAAACATGATGATGGTTTACTCGGTTGGGCTCTGATCTTTCGAGCTTGATTGCATCGCTGGTCGGGGCCTCTAAAGGTATCTGAGTGCCTGCCCACACAATTTATCCCTGTGCTTCAGCCTCTGATTGGCCAGGGAGCTAGCTGCCTTTGTGACACCTGCCTTTTATGAAGTCACTAGTGAGTCTGCTGGTCCTGTTTAGGTCCACGCATAGCAATTTCATGGTGGAGAGTTTTGGCACACTAAAAACTTGTCAGATTCCTGGTGTGTGTGTGTGTGTGTGTGTGTGTGTATGTGTGTGTGTGTGTGTGCTGTATAAATGTAGATTTCGGTGGAAACGTCTTGTCTGAAAGCCACCACTCCAAGTTACTTGATTCTAGCCTTACATCGCTTTAGTTCTTACACAGCCCCTTGAATGTTGTAGAGCAGACAGGCATATACAGTGGCTTATCCAGTAGAAGTTCTATCCGCAATCCTCTCACACTTTAATAACATTTATATGTGCATTTCCATCTGCATCTTACCACTATGTATGCATCTAATCTATGGATTCTGTCCATGTCTTAGTTTAGTTAAATGAATCTCTTAATATATGTCTAGTCTACATTTTTATGAGTATCATGACTTACTACCTGTCTCCATACATTTTCAATCTGTATGCAGAACAGATCATCCGGGACGCTGGCTGTATGAGGAGGAACGTGGCATCAGGGTTGGTGGAAGAGTCATTAACAATCTGCATTATGCAGATGACACAACCCTGCTTGCTGAAACTAAGGAGGACCTGAAGTGCTTGCTGTAGGAGGTCAAGAACTTAAGCCTTCAATACAGATTGAAGCTCAACATCAAGAAAGATTCTCACCACTGGGCCAATTGTCAGCATCAGTATGGATCATGAAGATATTGAGATAGTTAACAGTTTTAGTTTGCTTGGCCCCACAGTCAACACTTTTGGTACCAGCAGTCAGGAAATCAAGAGACAAATTGCATTGGGAAAGTCAACTGTCAAGGACCTCTCCCGAGAACTGAAGAGCAACAACGTCACTCTGGAGACTAAGGTGCTCCTGATCCAGGTCATAGTCTTTGCAGTTGCATGCCATGCATCAGAGAGCTGGACAGTGACTAGGGAGGATAAAAAAGAATTGATGCCTTTGAGCAATGGTGCTGGAGAAGAGTGTTGAATATACCATGGACTGCTAGGAGAACAAACAGGCTCATCCTGGAGAGGGTGAGACCAGGCTGCTCCTTAGAGGGGAGGATTCTGAAGCTTCGTCTGACATACTTTGGACATGTTGCAAGGAGGGATCATTCATTGGAGAGGGACGTCATGTTTGGGAGAGTGGAGGGACAGTGCAAGAGAGGAAGACCCTCGATAAGCTAGATCGATTCAGTGATTGGAGTAATGAGAGTAGGTGTGTCAGAGACAGTGAGGTTGGCACAGGATAGAGTAGGGTTTAGGGCTCTTGTACATAGGGTCACTCTGAGTCACCAGCGACTCAACAACACATAACAACAACGACAACAACAATGCTTAAAAACCATCTTTTTGAAAAACTTTGAACCATTTAGAAAATCACACCAAAAAGCCATTTTTATGTTACCTGTCAGAGGTAAAACTGTAGAGACATGTATTTCATGCCTAGTTAAAGTCTAGCAGTGTCTTTTCTTGATTCTCTTAGGTAAATCAAAATTATCAGTAAAATTGTGATTAGTCAAAGTATGGCAATTTCCTTGTAATTTTAAATATAATCATTTATTTCTCTACTTATTTTGTGTGTTTTTTTTTTCTTTTGCTGTGTCTCACTTATAGTTGGTAAATTATTCAACACTGCTGACAAGAATTACAGAGAATTAGGGTTGCTTTTTGTTTGATCATTTGAAAATCTCTAGATGGATTCATTGAGACTGTATAAGTGAGACCCAACTCAATGGCACACAACAACAAAATGAATTTATGGTTTAAGGAGTTCTGGTGGGGGAGGGCATAACTTATCAGGCTGCTAATGGAAACACTGGCTGTTTGAATCCTACTGCTCTGAGGGAGGAAAATGAGCAGTAAAACCTCCAAAAGTCTATGGAGAATCACTATGAGTCAGAACCAACTCAACTGTATTGAATAGTCTCTGCTGAGTAACAGGAGAGAGAGAGTTTGGTTTGTCAAGCTTTTGGTGTGATTATTCCTCTATAATCAAAGAAGAACTTTATGTCTTACATGAGATAGAGAAAAACTATCTGATGCTTGGGCTGGAAAGTTTTTCTCTTTGTGTTTACTCTTACTCCATGGCTGGAACTGAAAATTTGGAGCTTTAAACTCTTTAGTTTGTGACTGTAAGTCTATGTGCCTCTAATTCTGAAACAGTTACCTTTGACTGTATGTGTGTGAGGAGCTCTGGTGGCATATTCCATAGCATGATGTGCTGCTAACCAAGATATAATAGCACTGGGTTAGGTATTTATTTACCTAGATATGCCATTGAGAAGATACACGTTTAACTTTGTTTTGATTCAGTGCAGCAAAAAGAACATTTCTCCCCTGAAGTGAGATATTTTTTTCCCCTAGACTTGGAAAGAATATGGTAGAAGAAATCAAATAAATGGAAATTTGAGAAAATTTTAAACAATAGAATCTGAAAAGGAACACAAACTTTCATCAAAATTTTGTACCAATGTTCATAGCAACATCAATTGCAAGAACATGGAAACAGCCCAGATGTCCATCCACAAACGAATGGATTGAGAAGTTGTGTATATTCAAATAAAGGAATACTACACAGCATGCAGGAGCAATGATTTTGTAAATTATTACCTAACTTGGGAGGGACTGGAGAGCATCATGCTGAGTGAACTAATCCAGTCCCACATGGACAAATACTGTATAAAACCAGTATTGTAGAATAAGTGTGAGGATCCAAGGTGGGGGGGAGAAATAGAGTGGTGAGGTTGGGGAGGGTATTAATCATAGGGTTGCACAATTTGATTGGGTGGAGGTGAAAGAAATGGGAAGAATGTTTTGTGAAAAACAATGTATTCAAACTTTGTAAATAAATTAATTTTTTTTTTAAAAAAGAGAGATGCAAATCAACACCACAGTGAAGTACCATCTCACTCCAGTAACAGTGGCAAAATTTAACTGGGCAGAAGTAATAAACAGGTAAGATGTGGCAAGAAAGGAAGTCTTACACATTGTTGGTGGGTTTGTAAAATGGTACTACCACTCTGGAAGGCAGTTGGATGTTTACTCAAAAAGCTGAATGTAGAAATTCCATATGACCCAGCTATTCCACTACTTGGAATATACCCTGAGAAAATGAGAACTGAGGCACAAATGGAGACTTGTACACCAGTGTTTATAGCAACGTTATTCACCATCGCAAGAGCATGGAAACCGCCCAAATGTTCAATCATAAACTAATGGATTGAGAAATTATGGTACATTCACACAATGGCTACTACACAAAATGCGGAAGCAATGCTCTTGTAAATTACTACCTAACTTGGGAGAGACTGGAGAGCACTATACCGAGTGAGCTAACTCAATCCTACAAGGGCAAATATTGTATAAAACCGTTATTGTAGAATAAGGATCGAGGGGGAGGAGGAAAAACAGAGAGATGAGGATGTGCAGGGGGATTTGATAGGTGTGGGGGTGACGGAAATTGAAAAAAATCTGTACTGGAAAACAATATATTTGAATTTTGTAAATAAAATAGCATAATAAAATGCCGAATCTATGTTTTGATGAGTTTTTAATTTTTTTTTTCAAAAAGAGTTTTCTGGCCCTTTAGAAACTAAGTTTGTTCTTTGTGAAAATAAATTTTTTCGATTATTATTCTAATCTTAATAAGATGTTATAACAACAATCTGAAACAAGAGGTGCATTCCAAAGTGGAGTAGGAAAAGAGGAGGGAAGAAAATGCAACAATGAATAAAAATGTAAAAATCAAGAGTTATAAAGGGTACTAGAAAGTTCTCTTCTAATTATATGGTTTCCAAGGTCTGTTATATTTTGGAAGTGGGTGGCCAATCCTTCTTCCTAGTTTGTCTTAATTTGGATGCTTAACTTTAGAAACAATATCTGACAAACAAGCATTTTACCAAAAGGAACAAATGAAAGACACTTCCCATTATAAAATAACCAATATTTTCAGTGTCTTCCCCCCATCATGGCGTGTGCATATCTCTTGTCCTTTTCCTTTCCCGGCTACTCAGCATCCCTTGCACTCCCACTCCTGCCTAGCCTGTCTAGAACCTCCCTCCTCTCAGCCATCCCTAGATACGATGGCTTAGGCCACAAGTCATTTCTGTGATATCTGGCACCTCACACTGCTGCTGATTCACGCTGATGCTTGTCTTACATTTAGGAGGATGTAAGTTCAAATCCCATGTATCAGCTTCAGGGAAGGATTTTTTGTCTAAAGCAGCACCGGGGAAAGGTTCTTGCCCCTGAGCTTCTGCTCCAGGATTGTTGTTTTGTGACTTCGTGTCTCTGCTCTTCCCTTTGCACCATATGCTGTCATAATATGATAATTTGCAAGGTAAGGGTTAGATCTCCTCTAGATCTGCCATGCTGGTGTTGTTTATTTGGCCAGAGGCCCATCAACTAAGCTTTTTTAAAACTGACTAAATATTTAAGTAAAATTAACTGTGAAACTTTTATGATTCTAAAAATAAAAGCTTATTTTTTTTAAAAAAATCATTTCCTCATTTTGCTTATATACATTGGAATATATAAATAAATGTGAAATTCAGAGCTTCCTCCTCACCCCAGGTTTTAACACAGAAAGAGATATTGGGCTATTAGTTTATTCCTTATTTCGAATTCATTTGGTCCAAGGCATAGCGTGTCAAAAACCTGTGGGAAGGTCAGTTCTGGACAATTACCCCTTTGCAGGCCTGATGTGAGATCAAAGCACCTTGCACATTTGGCAACACTATTTAGTTTATAACTTTTATGGAACCTCATTTTTCTGTAGATCAGGATGTGCTGATCATCATGATGAAGAAATCAA